TGGAACGTCAGGAAGAACAACCTTCAGAACACGGCCCAAGAGCCCGAAAAACCCACAACCACCACCCAATTCCTTTAATTAGAACAACTGCCTCAAGCAACATTAGGTACATTAATAATATAGGAATTAGTTTACCTATTATGTTCTTGTCAGCATAATCGTAAGAGAAATGAGTGAGTAGCAGGCCCTGTTTAAACCAGCCCATTATGCTCTCTATCTTTTGCTAATGCTGCTAAATCAAAATGTAATAGAAAGGTCTCCCAATGTCTACTTGGTGGCAACAGCAGTGTTGTCAACAGAGCCCATGCAAGGGCAAAAGACAAGACAACATCTTGTTTTTTAAATTCATCTGTTCAAATATGGACACCCCTAAACATCACAGGTGGAATTATTTCTGTGCAGAGACTTCCTTCAGTGATACTGACACTCAGGAACCACTGGGGAGGATTCATGAGATTACGAGCTGCTTCAAAACAAAAAATCTAGGTTTATAACTACCTGGAACAGGTTGGGGAATCCTGTTACTGTCTCTCATAAAAACAATGTAGTGTACTCACATGCAATGAATGGTAAAAATACATCTATCCCACTGTTAACATTAGGTCCTTCAAGTACTGCTGGACTGCAATTTCCAAAATCTCCTCCCCCGCCCCCATGGCTATGCTGATGGGAATTGCAATCCATTAACATATAGAAAACCACAGTTGCCCAGCGCACTGGTTTACACTGACTTTCCCCAGTGTATGAGCAGGCACAGAGGGTTAGCAGGAGGGCACAATATTGCAGAAGAATGAGCTCAAACTGTTTAACATGTACAGGAACGGTATGTGTTGATAATGGCACATGAAGATACACTTTCTCTTTTACTCCTGTCTAAGCAGTAAAAGATTCCCAGTGTGGTACAGTGGATAAAGGGATGGACTAGGACTCTGGAGAATAGAGTTCAAAACAGTTTTGCCTTGACTTACGAACGTCCCGACTTACTACAATTTCAAGTTACGACCAGCTCTGGCCGCAAAATTTTGCTTTGACTTGCGGAGCTTCCAGTTACAAACAGAAAAAGGCAGGGGGAAAAAGCGGGAATTCAAATTGCTAACCGTTGGTAGGCGAAGAGGCTGCTTCATTGTAGCTCTTTCGCCCCAATGGTTAGAGTGAGTGCGATTGGAGGAGGCTTCAGACTGCCTGGGGTAATGTGCTGCTTTCTGCTTTTTAAAAACTGTCCTGGGTGGGTTTTGCAGTGTGGTTTTGGGCTGGGGGTGTTATGTTTCTGTGCTGTGATGGGTTTGGGGTTTTTTGGGGGGGTTCTTTTCTCCATTTCTGATAGATCTTGGAAGAATTGTTTGCTTTTTGGAGTTTTTCCCCCCATTTCCAATGGGTCTTCAGGGATTTGTTTGCTTTTTGGGTTTTTCCCCCCATTTCCAATGCGTCTTGGGGGATTGGTATTCTCGAAGGCTTTCACAGCCGGGATCTGATGGTTGTTGTGGGTTTTTCAGGCTCTTTGGCCATGTTCTGAAAGCTGTTCTTCCTGATGTTTCACCAGTCTCTGTGGCTGGCATCTTCAGAGGACTGGAGTAAGAACTCTGTCCATAGTTCCTACTCCAGTCCTCTGAAGATGCCGGCCACAGAGACTGGCGAAATTTCAGGAAGAACAACCTTCAGAACACGGCCAAAGAGCCCGAAAAACCCACAATAACCATCTTGGGGGATTTGTTTGCTTTTTGGGTCCCCCTCCATTTCCAATGGGTCTTGGGGGGTTTCCTTGCTTTGGGAGTCCCCCCCCCATTTCCGATGGGTCTTGCGGGGTTTGCTTGCTTTCTGCTTTGCTTGGAAGCCCTATTAGGGTCGCTATAAGTCAGTTCTGCCTTGACGGCATAGAACATACACAAAAGCCTAGTTCATCAATTTTATTGATACACAGTGATTATGGAATGAAATCTTTCTTAGCTAGTTGCCTTCACTCACCTGTGTTCTGCTTCTAATGAATGAGATAGGTTTTTCCCCTCTTCCAGAGGCAGAGAAAGACCATTCTGATGGCAATTCTCTTCCCAGTTTTCCTTTGGTTCTGGTGTGTTGCCCTCTTCCATCTAGTGGGAGAGGAGGGGGAAAAATACAGAGAAATGATTTGAGGAATGTGAAGCAAAAATCACAAATTTCAACATCACATGGTAATGAGGTGTGAAGAGTTAGATGGATATTCTGTGGGACTTTAAAATCAACTACTCCAGTATTATCATGTATGACTTACAGCAGCTATATTAAATACACTTAGTTCAGAATAAGCCTAATTTAATATAAGGGGATGTCTGAACAAAGTACACATATGATTACATTGTGACCAGTTTATATACTCTTAACAAAAGAGCCAATATGAATACAGGTTTTCTATCCGCTTTTATGTTATAGGGACTTTTTAAAAAGATGTTTCTGGTGATGCTAATAAAATGGCAGAACAACTCTACAAGTGAAATTCAGGCGTACAAGGCATGCTGCCTGTGCAAATTCCCAGGCTGTATACTTACATTTTGCAATCAGGATTATGTACAGATCTTCATCATAGTGTTAAATGCAATTCGCCTTTAACTGAATTTACAAACCATCAGTAAGTACAGCAGAGATGGAAGCATGATCACCCCAATCTGCTGAAGCTATTGTGCATAATTATCAAACCACGGACAACTTTGTGGAAAACAACCATTCTCTGCTTCCAAGGGCAGCAGTCTTGCCTTCTTTATCTCTTTCTCAAGGTGAAAACACAGCAAATAGTTCAAAGTGCTGGGTTAGCACATGGGGAGAAGCATTTCATTGAGCTAATCTCTTCTTGGGTTTTTTAATTTTTTAAAAAAATTATAAAATTTGAATATAGGTTAGGTTTAGGGATGTGTATTTCATTTTTGTATTTTTTTATATATATGTCCTTTCATCTGCATGTTTTTGGCACCACAAAATATCTAAATAACCCTTTAAAATTACTTGAAAAAATCAGAGGCAAGATAACAAAGAATCAATCTATTCCAAAAGCAGTTAACAGTAATGAGGAGAAAATTCATAATCAATCCTATGCAGGCACTAGTGTATATTATCACATTTAAAACATGGTATGAGTTCAGTGTCACTGTGAAGGAAACCCTGTCTAATCCGCTTATTAACAGGGTAGCAATGTGACTGGCTGGGTGGTGTATATAGTCAGCTTATCCTGGAGCCTGAACGAGGAGGAGGCTCGAGGGCTGGAGTAATAAAGAGGGAGGAGCCTGTAGATTTTGAGGGATAAAAGGGGGAAAATATAAAATATAAAGGTTATGACGAAAAGGGAGAATATAGAATTAAGCAAATGTTAAATTTAGGGAGAAAGAAAAAGAATTTGTGGGTATGAATTATCTTAATTGGTTGTTGTAGTTGAAGAAAACCTGAGATCAAATTTTTTTCCCCAGTCTTATGTTCCTATATAATTAAAAGTTATCATTTTCACTCTTTAGCCACCAGGTCTAGTGTGGTTAATTGCTGGTGTCAGATACACTACTGAAAAGATGTTTCAAAATATGACAAGCCTGAGCTGGGGCTGGTCACAGCCACCTATCCAAAATAAAAAACCACTGGGCCTGGGCACGGCAATGAAAAAAAAAAAAAGACAAGGAAGCAGGTATGCAGCAACCCACTCAGCAATCAAGAACAAGAGGGAAATGCCTCAAGCTTGTTCAGTCAACAGCACCTACCACCATACAGCCCAATGGCATACTGGCACACTCCACCACCTGGCTCACACCCCTACATAGAAGCAAATACAGTGGAACCTCTACTTGTGAACGTCCCTACCTACGAACAATCCAACTTACAAAAAGCTCCGTTTGCAAAATTTTGCTTCTACTTGTGAACGGAGCTTCAGCATACGAACGGGGAAAAAAAACCCACGGGTGAGGTGGGGAAAGCGTGAAATTTGAACTTTCAGTTGACCGTTGGCCAGCTTGTTTGCAACATCGCTTGTCCAAGCGGTTAGAGAGTGGATAGGGAGAGAGTCTTCAGACTGCCTGGGACTGCACAGTACTGCCTGGTACTGTACTGTATGGATTGTATTTTTTGGCTTTTTTAATTTTTGATTTTTTACTTATTTTTTTTTAAACAGAGAGACTGCCTGTTCTGGGTGAGTACACTGTATTTACTATACAGGGTTTTTGGCAACTGGGGGGGGTAGGGCTAGGTGGGGGGTTATGTTTCTGTGCTCTGATGGGTCTTGCAGTGTAGATTTTAGTTTTAAAATGTGTGTGGTTAAAATGTGGCTGTAAAGTCTGTTTTAAAATCAGAAAATACAGTACTCTGTGAGGGGCTGTGGTGGCTGTAGACGCAGGCAGCCAGGCAGGCACAGGCTTTAAAATGGAGTGTAGACTCCATTTTAAGTCTCTAACCCCCCACCCCACCCCCAATGCTCTCTTTTTGTGATGAGGAGTTCTATGCTGGAATACAGTAATGGTTGCTGATTGTTGGTGCAAGCAGGCTTTAAAATGGAGTTTAGACTTAAGTCTCTACCCTCCCCCCCATGCTCTCTTTTTGTGATGAGGAGTTCT